AAAACACTGGAAAACTCCCTTCTAACTGCTGCTCTTAACCCGAAAGAAATAGCAGACCACGAAATGAATGAAGGAACGTGGACTATGCGGCCACACCAAGAAGGGGCACAGCGACAAAAAAGCTCCTATGTTATTCAACTGCGAAAGTGCGACAGATACAGTAAAGTCACAGCGAGAGATGCAGTCTTATCTCTGTAAAGACTAGTCAGGTGGTCAAGAAGGCTAGTTCTAAGATGAGAAATTATGAAAATAAGAGAAGCCAAATATGTTCAAATGACGTTGTCACTTAATTTTGAGGAGCTGTCTATGAGTCCTATGTGATTCATCAATTTTAAATTTCAACATAAGTCAAATTCACAAAATTAACAAATCATGCAGTTTTGCTTTATGCACATTTGTTGTCGCGCGTTTTTATCGGGTCACCAAAAAATTCGCTGATGTGAACGTTTTGTGTACTACGCGGAGGCTGTAGTAAAGCCTCATACGAAAGGAACTTGGAAATCCATGATATATACGCACTGGATTTCCGCCGCACACAATCCGACCGCTGCTAGAATCTTTTGCAAAGCAGCCTCCGTAATCCGGGTAGCAGGTGCTTGGCGTGATTGGCGCCCATAAACATGAAAGCATAAGAGTGCCAATTTGATTTTCACTTTTTCACTTCACTTCGGTCCCAATCGCTTAATTATTAACACTATAAAAATTGCGTTGACTAAATGCGAATGGCTAATTTTACAGCAAAGGGGCAGTCATCACCACGGTACTCTCTTTCCACCGCAACTACAGCCCACGTATGAATCGCCGTAGAACAAGCAGCAAAAAATATTTAACACTAGAATAAATACTAGAGGGAACAACAACGTACTGGTAGTTTAAAACGTCATTCTTGGCCTGCATTTCTGAGCCAAACTATCTGTGAAAAGTATACAAACAAAAAAAAATTCCGCCTTAAGAACTCACGATTGAGCTTTGAAATCTTTCATGATTTCCAGGAAGTCGTTGTACACATGAGGTTTGTTGGCGAATTGCAATTTTACTTGGTCCAAGTAACTGAGCGCATCTTCGACCTTAAGTTTCTGGAATGGCATCTGCACCTGCAAGGCAGCGGAATTCATTATGTGAGCAGCGCCGCTGCCGCTACCACTACCACCGACATACGACGATGACGCAAGATGGCTGCTGTTCAAAGCTCCTCCAGGCATACTGAAAACATTTTGCGTTTAAACAATAAACAAGAAAAACAAATGAAACAAATATCTGAATGATAAAGAGATCCACCGAAAACACGACAATCCTCAGCAATAAATAAGCAAGCCAGTTTCAGAGACCGCGTCAAAATTTAACAGTGATGGCAAAAGTCGAAAGATAACTATAAAATGAAAGAATAAAGGTCCGCGAAACAAACAGCGGTGGCAGCGAAACGGTGCGAGCAAATCTGTCATACCGTGCGACGTAAATCTACAGCAAAATACAGTGCCTAGCCAGACGTAAAGCAAAATTTTCTACAAAACTAGCTGTCGACAACAACATAACCCTTTTCAGGAACACGGAGATTCGACCTGCGCACAGACAGAAACTCCTTAATTCGCTTTTCAGTTAAACAACCTCGTAACAGCTTTTGAAGTTATTATGAACTTGCAGTCAACAAAATTACAGTGGGAACAATGATGCAATAACCTGCTAGTCACCCTTTTTAACAATCAATAATTAGATGCATGCAAATATCGGAGAACTCCAGTAACGGCAGCAGGAAATATGACATCTCACGTATCTTTCATGCACGGTTCCATCATTTATCTGCCGTTTATTTTTCGCGGACATAATCACAAGTACGCTCATATATCGAATCTAGTTTGCCATCCACGAACTATCTGCATAACGGTGTTTGTAACGCTTTCTTTATTCATACGCAGGGTTCAACCAGTTTATATCGCGTTACCGAACCACCCGTTACGTCTAGAGAAATGATGTCCATTTAAGAAGGTCACCGCTCCTTGGCGTTGAAAATCGACAGAACATCGATGCATCTTCTACCCCCTACTATAAGACAGAACAAATCTGCACACTTTATCAGCCAAATTTTAGAACCGGCTTACTAAGCTTTCAAATTCGACATATGCCTCAGCCCCAACCCAGTAAAAACAAGCCCAAGCACAAGACAGTAATGCATAACTGGTAACAGTTTCATGTTTGAATCAAGTGATGTGAGGAAGCCATGAAGAGTTTACACTGTCCCTTAGTCCTGTATGACAAACAAGCTAAGACACCACACTATGAACAATAGAAGCTCTAAGACCATTTTTACAGCACTCGAACAGAACTGAACTTACCGATATTTCGTAAATACATACACAAGTACATACAAACACATTTGTATATACATGTTTTGTACGCACCTATACAACTTTTTTTATTTGCAATAAGACAAATAATGGTACAATGCTATATGCAAACATAAGTTTATTATATTTTTAGTTTATTACAAGTTTCTATTACGCTGATCGCAATAAAAGATGTCCCAGCAGAAGTTCTAAATTACAGACTATATACAATGCACCTAGTTTGTGTAACTTTACTGTAATGAATCATAGAGCAAGTATTGCCATCATAAGAAAGTTCTAAAAAACATGAATTCAGTGGTTCTAGACACATGCGAAAAGACATATGGTAAATTCTTTATTGGAACTGCTGGCGATTAAGCTAAACAACACTGGACATCCTCAGGGATTTTCTGATCTAAAGATGGTACATGTAGGTTGGCTGAAACGATGGCAGTTCCAATAAAGAATTTACCACCTGTTTTTCGCTTGCGTCTAGTGCGGCTGAAATGACGATTTCATGAAGACAGAACTGAAGTGAACTTCAGATATCATTAACATTTATGTTTCCTTTATCTAATACGACGTCAAGAAAACTGTAAAAGACCTAAGCGTTTTAATTACTCCGCAATGGGAAACAATTCTCGGTAGTAGTATGTTTTTAGTCAGCCAGACGAAGAACATGCCCTTTTGAAATGGACAGTGCGCACTTCCGCGTTGTCACTGTCAGAAAGAATTCATAGTTTTGTAAACAGTATGATGCATGAAATAGAAAGAACAAAATTAACCAGGTCAAAGTCACCATAGAATACAGGAGAAGCATAGAAAAGAAAAATTTTGCCCTGCTTACCCGGGATTCACGTGATAAAGGTCCATACGGCTTGCCAAAACTGCCGCCGAAGACGAGCTGGCTCTGACGATGCCGACCGAAGACGACACCATATTGGATTCTCCTCGCATGGTTGGAATCGGCGACGGAGCAGCCAGGAAAGTATTAGGCCGTGGTAAGTGTACGGAACTGAGCGGAGCATGGGACGGTCTGAGATGTGACGAAAGGGCTACTAGCGGTGTTGTGACGGCTGTAGAGACATGACAAGCCGTAGAAGGGTTCAAGTTTGACCTGACAACCCCCATATCAGCCAAACTGAACCGAAGCTGCTGGTGATAGGCACTGCCACTACTCTGAGACGAGCCCACATTTCTATCCATCGCAGTCGCGTTTACTTCCCTAGCCGCAGAGTAATCGCCTAAAATATTCAGTTATTCAACATTAGCGCTAAGTAGCAAGAAACAGAGTACATCATTTTGCGTAAATAACGATTCTGCTTTCCATAAATAACTCCGAGCTAGCTGTAGCTTTCGTATTGTTTTCAATTAACACTTTAAGCAAAACGACACTAAACTACGACCGAAAATTGTTCATTAAGTTTGTCGTAAGTGCGTGTTACTCTGCATATACTGCATGTTACGGCAATTACCTCCACTATACCTGTATCGAGTTCAAAATCAGCAGTCTAGAAATTAACACTTAAAAACTAAATCTCAAGTAGGAAGTAAACTTTTTACCTTTTTACAACTCTACCTAGCACTTGATAAGTAGCAAAAAACCAAAAGCTATTTTTTTATTCATGGGTTACACCACGTAAGTTACATCGACTAAGCAAGCTGTTATGTGCGCCAAAGCGCACTGCACATCAGACGGTATGGCAGTAAGTCTTGGACGCTCTGGCATCATCACATCAGAACACTGATTTGTACCAATGTGTCACGAAGTCGGAGCTCAGGCTGCTCCCATTTACTGCCCGGTTTTGTCTAGCAGCACTAATGCACGGTTCTGTGAATTACTTGCTCAGTGAAATTAAGCTGGTAAACAAATTTACGCTGAACTTAAGCTGAATTCGAATAAACAACTCTAACGATATAACTTTCCATAACGCCACTGCTCCTTAACAACCAACAACAACCTAGAAATCAACTTTCTTAAACCATCCCTGCATTAAACTTCAGTCTTACACTATTTGCCTGCTGGTGGTCTTCTACCAAATCTGCTTAAAACAAACGTTCGCAAATCGCCTTCATAACAGGCTAAATGCAAAATTTTCAGAAACCCCACATAAAATACATCATTATCACTGTCAAAAGTCATCGTCAAAAAAGATGGGAAAAACATCTTCAGCAGAAGAGTACGCTTTTCTTTGAAGACTTTCGAACAGTGAACAAATCAACGATTTGATGACTTAACTTTTGGCTTAAAAGCCAACTTATTTTTACCATAAAGAGAAAACCAGGAACTATATGCGATATTTCGTCACCTTGTTTTTGTAACGCACTCCGTCGACAACACTGTCGTGGAAGACGGAAACAAATTTTTGACTGATTTGATTCCTCAGACCCTGAAACAGAAAACATTCAGCTACTGATTTCTTGACAACTGAAATGCTACTAGCATGACTTCAGAAGACTATCTTTCGAAAAGTAAGGAACTAATCAGGTATTTTAAAGTCAAACCGGCTTAAAACAAAAGAAAATCTCATGTTATGACATTTAAGCAGTAGCAGAAAATTCACAAACGACTTATTATTTACATCGAATTTGTTTTTATCCATCGTGAACATATAATCGTTTCTTAAGTAGGGAAAAGATCTTGAATTCGAACTAACGGTAGCAAAAATCTGTTAGAACAAAGCGCACTTTTGCATTACATCACTGTTTTATATATTATCTGTGAACCTCCTTTCAGACTTCTTGCCAGCACATTTGCATTATACAAGTAACTTAAATATATGATGTAGAATCACCATTGTAGATGGAACATTCAATAATTCATACGACTGTATATTTTGACAGTTTGGCGGTCAGACATTCAAAGAGCTCCGTCCGTATTCGTGTAAAAAGTCTATATAAATCAAGGCGGTCAGATTACAACTAATATTCAACCGTAAATGCAATAAAAAATTGGCTCTGCAGCTGCAATACTGTTTCTTACCGTAACATTTGAATTAAATTTTTCATCAATGACGAAATGATTGAAATATGTGCTAACATTAAAAAAATGAATCGTAAATGAATGGACTTCACGTATTTTCCGAGTCAACACGTATAAATCTAAAACATTTGCTGAAATTGTAGGTGCTAACGCCACGCTTTTTTAACCAACAGTCTGAAAAATCTGAGTCCCGACGACTTGCGACAAAACAAATCTTGTTAAGATTTATGATAAGTGAACCATAATATTCATGCAATACTGAAACAAACGCTAACTCTAAAATGAAAATTCAACTTCCTGACGCCTTCTTATATACAAAAAATTATATGCAATGGAAACGAGGACATTAAATACAAACTTTAGTGTACGATCTGTATTTCTATGAGCCCTCTAAAGCAAGGACAACATCCCTTCTCAACCAACTTTATGCTAGAGTCGCTAATACCGCTAACCATTGTGATAAAGATCGATGCGGCGACATACGGAACTCCGCGTGTTCCAACTTTCAACGCTATCATCGTCCAAAATAACAGCATTCTCAGCATTCTAAATAAATACCACTTCCAGTTGGTACTGTTAAAAAAAATACATTAATTCACTAAAATAACGTGCTACGGCAATACACGAAATATCGATGAAGAGAGCATAAATAGCTGTGGAAGGAAGTATCGATTTGTTGTCCGCTTGTAAAACAATTAATGTATTCGCTACGACAGCATAAAATGCGGTTTATTTGCACACAACGCAAGCAGGAAAACTGACCAACACCGACGTTTCGGCCTGTGTCTTACGGGTATTGTCAAATGTGTGGTGGGCTAACGTAGTGGCACACTGCTTAAAATGCAGGCTCCGAACTCGAACCTCGGAAGTGCCGAACTCCGAACTCGAACCTCGGAAGTTCATTCCCGCAACGATCTTCCCAACGAATTCTACCGAGAAGGAAATTTCTACATGCTATTTCAGACCGGGGTTACTCCGTCGGCAGAGCGATGGACTCGGAACCGAGAGGTTATATTTTTGATTCCCGGTCTGGGTGACTCTTTCTTTGTTGTCCTTGATTTGAAGTTGATTAATACATGGATGATCAATCATACTTGTCATTCTGATATAGGAATAGGACGGAAAGAGGACAATACAGACCATTTGCCATATAACTACGGTCGATTCTGTCTTAAAAATAAGGCACTCCTGGCTGATACCATGGAAATGGAGATCACAAACTTTATGAAAACAAGGGCCCTAGAACTGACTCCATCATGCAAATGTAAGGAAGACCGACATTCAGCGGTTACGAACTTTCCCTTTCCTTCTCCATTGTAAGGACGTTGGTTGAATAACATCGGGAGTCCTTCGAAAGGCAGGCACGTGCCTTCTGGTTTCAAAAGTACCAACTGTTGCGAATGACAAAAGGACGTCCGAAATCACTGAGCCAACCTTTTTACATCGATGAAGGCTTTTGGGACACGGGCCAAAACATATGTACTGTTCAATCATCCGACTTACCATACTGTCTGCGTTGTGTACAAGCCGTGTTTTATCCTGTTTTCAGTACAACCAGCAATGCAAGAATAAAGTACTCAAATATCAATGAAGTAGGAACATAATGTACATGACAGCTACAGAAGATACTGAAAAAAGTAATAGCCAAACTTTTATAAAAAATTTTCTCTGGCGAACTTCCATTTTGACGAATACTTCAAACAACGACCGTCTTTCTAAATGCTCGCAAAATGGTTCCGAAGAAGGAGAGTCGATAGTCAACACTCATGGAAATACCAGATTTTCCTGGCTTTAGCTAAACTTTTTAACTCGTCAAACACTTTACTACATCTAGATTTATAAAAATGTTTGTTTCATTCAGATTCTACAAAACGCAAACACAATTATGAAGGACTTACTGAATTTGTGCATGGAAGAGCAGATTGCAGTTACAACAAACAGCAATCTGAAGGAAGTTCTACCATGTCATTTAACGTTCACTCTGATCTAAACTTACAATAGCTGTAAAACGAAACAACATTTTACGTTACAGAAAGCCGCACTTCATCTGACTGAAAAGATTTAAACAGAAGCAACCGGCAAACTTCAGTACAGACTGAAGTAAGTTTTCAGGTTTGGTGAAATGTATAACAATTTAAAATGGTACTCACAGAATCAGATTTTACAGACTCAGAATGGTGCGAAATATTGTAAAGAAAGCTTTATTTAGACAACTATTGGAAATATGTCAAACATTATCAGGGAGTGCTCAATACTGTTGCTAGTGATTTTCTGTTTGACGATTCATAGCGAGAGTTCGTCTTATTCCGGCATGTGTAAATTACTGTCACACAGCAATACTCTCCTTTGATTATACAAATGTTCGCGACGTAAATTTTGACGTTATAAACCTAATAAAATGCTCATAATGGTTGTAGAGAAATGAAAATAAAAAGTTTGTAAAAATTAGCTTTTTTATAAATTCATATTCCCATGAGTAGCACATTTAACTTTCTTCGTTTCGATGCATGCAGCCTAAAAACGATTCGGAACTCATTACTTGCAAATAAAAGCAGCACTGTATTTCAGTATTTCACTGTTTGCACTAGAGTAGCGCAATTTCTTACACAGGCTTGACTAATGTCATTTCTAGACTTACCTGAAAAATGACCATAAATCCGCACAAGATTCGAAGTATTTATTAAAAACAGTGGCTTTCCTTAAGTCGCGACACTGCCAGAAAAGATTAATTTTGATAAGCGTCCAAAAGTATGAGCATAAAATTACGAAAGCCAACAGGATTGAATTTACCAGAGGACCACAAGCTGATAAAAGCCTACACATTGTTTAGGAAGTAACTTTGTAGAGTACTAGTAATAGAATTCACAGTAGTTGTTTTTGCGATAAAAAACTCAAATTGGATCTCGGCGATCGCTCATTAATGAAGTTTAAAATATTGACTAATTTCAATAAATTTTTTCATTTAATTACATTCCTTGCTCGGCTGACACTCCGCTGTCGTCGTCCTCAACACCGGATGATAAAAGATTATGGCTAAAAACCAAGGCGAGATTTTCAATAAAACAGAGCCACCTGCCCCTCATTGAATTGCAATCAAAGACCTTATACCCACTCTATTGTTGGCTTAACGTCGGGTTACTTAACGCAGTGAGGGCTGTTGGAAAACTGAGGCAGGCTGAGAAAATCCGGCGAGTGGAACCGGCTTCCGTTATTTTCGCAGCCCCAAACATTGCAACAGGGCAACAGCTGGCAAAATAAGCCTATAAAAAGGTCTACAAAATGCCGATGAACATATCAGCAATTTATTCGCCACCCATTTTGAACGGAGGAGGCAGACAGCGCCATGATACAACGGCACGTCAGATAAGTCGCCATGGGAATAATGTCGACAGTGGGAGTTTGCATTTAGAAATTTTGGCGTGTCCTCATTCAGAGGAGAAAAGCAGAAGCTACTTAATGATGCTCCAATCTATCTACTGGACATAGTTGAACTCTTATCAACGAAGCGCAGGGCATTAGGAATCTGAACCTCTGCAAATGGAAGCAATTCTACTCATGTGTTGACTTCGGAAAACACGCTCATGCCGGTATTAGTGCTTTCGCAGAATCCAAACTGACTGACCGAATCATGGAGTGAAAGCGTGTCAGCGGAAGACTGGTAATTTTCCAATTAGTTATGTTAGTTGAAATGAACAGAATGAATGAACAATTAGTTATGTTAGAACAGACTAGGTATCTGATTTTATTGCGAGTCTATCCTCTAATTTCGATGGAGATTGTGATTCCCTCCTAGAGAAAGCGAAAGGTGTTTTGTACGAAGTGCTAAGAACGGAATCCATCATTCTAATGCGCAATTTCAGTCCATCCATATGTCTACAAAAAAGACAAGGCGTGATTGACAAGATCGGCAATAGCGACCTCAAAACGGTTTTTCCGCTATGAACACCTTCTCTGAGCATCGATGCAAGCATCAGAATACCAGACGCAGAGAGACTTGTCCACAGAAGTTGATGACAGATTTAATAATCGCATCTGCTGACTTACGACGAAGCTAGGTAATTAATTTTCGCTCTAAGCGAAGCGCAAGCTGTCATCCGATCATCACTTTTTTATTGAAACCATTTGCTCTAATCGATGGAGTATAGTGCGGAGATTTGACAACAGAAACAACTATAGAATCAAACGCAAATCTTCGCGGATACGAGAGCAACTTGCATAAAATATCGTATGATCATTTCAATAAATCCATCTGATGCTCGCTGATGTCGAAACCGAGCAGAAGCTGTTTCAAAGTGGAGTGTTCATGGTTGCTATCGAATGCCTTCATCTTCATCTTCATCTTCCATCGTCGCTTCTCCTTTCGGGTCGCGGAAGCAGACACATCAGACAGAGCTTCCAACGTTCGCGATCCTGTGCCAGAGTCTGAACTTCGGCAAAAAATGGAGTCTGGAACAGACTTCTTCCATACGTTTGCACCAGGTTAATCTTGGCCGTCCCCTGGACCTTCTGCCGGTCAGATTTGCAAGGAACAGTTGCATAGCCTTCCTTTCTGGAGGCATTCGCAACACATGCCGTTACTGACTGTCGAATGCTAAAGTTTAAAACGGGGTTGCCTGCCCCTTGGAGGTTAGAGACGAACTTTCAAGTATATATGAGAGGTTTAACTGCTTATCATCAAGAATAACGCTGCATTCAACAGATGGTTGTAAAGGCTGTAGTTTTCAACTCGTATGTAATTTCAAGATGCGCGCAAAGCGATTGTGAAAGCGGTAGAAAAAGCTAAACCTCAATGCCGGCAGATGTTCGATAATTGTGAGAGTTGAATTTCTAAACTTCAAACAGCATTTCCTGGTACACCATCTGCCGAGGTGAAAAAGTAGGCAATCTAAGATTCCTGACTGATAAGTCTGATTGCATTTCTACGGAGAATGAAGACGTGCTTCGACGATGGAAAGAATATTTTGAACAACTCCTTAAACATGATAAGCCTCAAGAAGACTCACCTGAAGAGCATCAGAAGTGGAATGTTAGTCCATCTGAGATGAAATCACACAGGGTCTGAAGAGCTTGGAAAGTTGCAAGGCTGCTAAAATCGGATTAATCCACTCTGAAATGCATAAAGAATTTACTGTACTGTGCATGTACTAGATTACGCGTTCCTATGAAACTGCAATGGCTAAGGGAAGAATCTCAGCGGCTTGGAGAAAAGTAGTTGTAGCACCCCTGTTCAAGAAGGGAGATATTAGATGCTGCTCTAACTGTCGGTGCTTTACATTCTTGAGCCGCTCCGGGTAAACTCTATACAGTGGTGCTGAAACTGAGATACAGCTGAATTAATCCGACTGTGAGAAACAATATGAGCAGTGTTACTTCAGATTTGGCTGAAATACCTCACCAGTTATTTGCCGTTCCTAGATTGCTGAGAAATTTTGGTCGTGCTTACATTCCGTTTTGTGCAACTAGAAATGGCTCATAATCGGATCGTTTGCAGCAATTTATGAACTTGCCCATAAACATTATGGATCGACGAGACACTAAGAGCCAC